AGACTAAGGTTTATAAATTTAAGTTACTTTCATGATGGCGTTAGACACTTGAACGAAGCTTTCACTTATTGCTTGCAGTCAACATCGATTTACGTATATACCTTTACGAGTAGCCATGCAAGTTGCATATCCATTTTATCGATATTCTACGTATTTCTTTTCTCGATAACGACGAGTATCTTTTTTAACAAAACTAATGCATCCTTTCAGACGAACTTAAGCAAAGAAGGGTAATACGACGGAGAACAGCTTTTACGAATAGATTAAGATATCGTTGACGCGAAACAAAGTGCTATTCATCTTGAAAGTGACTTTTTTTTTCCTTTGAAATATGGGTTAGTTAATCATAAACTACCCGCAGTGATTTTTTGTCCCTCAAATATTATGTTTGAATCCCAATTTAATACAAAGCATGCTTCGATGCAATTTATTATCCAAGGCTATGAGTTACTAATTTTAATGTAATATTTAAAAGGAACAAAGAGATAAAATCGTGATTTTAAAGATCGATTTACAGTAAAAGGCGAAATGTGAATAGAAAATCAGCAACCAAATATACGACGAAAGAATATATTGATAGGTTGTGCTTAAACAATATTACATGATAATGATATATCACAAAAAAGAAAAATGAGGGACTGTAACTATTACAAAATTGAGGCACATTACAACCACAATAGCTCGCATGACTTTGTAAACACTTGATAAGCCAAAATACAATCTATAAAGGTTGGTGCAGAGTGCTATTTACTAGGCTGGTGTTGCGCGTTACCTTCGAAGATCCAATCTACTCCAAATAAAAAGTTCTTTTTTACACCAAGAAATTATTGAAACGATATCAAAGAGAGTAGAGTACATGGCATATTTTTCTGCTCGTGCTTTCGTACGTAACAGTTCACTGCAATGAGTGGAAAGCATGGAAATAGATTGATACGATTCTTCTAAATTTAAACAAATTGCATTTAGTTCTACGATACTGAAAGACAATGGCGAAAGAATTAACAAGCAGTTACAAATTTCGCAATTTGTTAACAATGGGTTTTGTTATGAGATATTGATGCGCAAGATCCTCGAAGCGGAGACTAAGTTGAATTAAAGAAAATGTAAGAACAAAGAGAGAGAGAGAGAAAACGAGGTTCGAAATGACCAATTGTGACAGAAAAGCATCTGTGTATGTGTTAAGAGAGGTGAACATCCTGTATTCAAAATTTAATTATTAAACGCTCGGAGGTTGGTAGCATAAAGTTCTGATATCACACACACGAATACAATAATATTCACCACGTTTACATCTTTATCCAAGTAGATGCCAAACTGATCTTCACGATACGAATCATAACTTCACGAGCAATATATTAATGGAAAATTCTATCCCTATCAGATTATATTTGAATATACAAGCCAACTTTAGAACCAAATTTATATTCCGTACAAAGTGCTTAACTTATAATTTAGTTCTCCTTAGAACAAATATACATTATGATTCAAGAAACACCGGTGAGAATTTAAATTTGCCGCGTAAACTGTGGGGAATGTGTTGTATCAAAGACTCAAAATTATTGAAAGAATTAATTTAATTATGTATTTTCGACATATAAACGAATACTTTCAGATGCTATGGTATTGAGAAAGACACGTTGAATTACGGCCTTAGACCTAGTCGTGTATATAAGAGAAACGAAGGACAGAACGATCCTTAACTGTGAGATAGTTGAGTGCGTGGCATCGTTAGACACAAATTTTATATCGAAGAGATTTAAAAAAAAAAACATCAAAATAAAGTCAATGCGTTAAAAGCCAACTTATATAACAGTATTTATTGTGCGTACTATCCTCCTATTATTTGTTAATATTTTGTAGGTGACCGCATGAACTTCATCCCAGCGATGTCCACAGGAGACAACCGGTGTCTCCGCCACCATGTCTTAATCCCAGGGCACAATGGTGGCGATTTGGAGCGAGTCCAACTAGTAGTTTACTACGCGTTATTCAAACCATAGTATATTTTTGATTAATAGAATGTTCTTCTTTCCTACTAATTTCCATTTCATTTCCTATTGCATTTGCCTATTTCCATTGCAAAATCCGGAACAATTAGGTTTCGTTTTTGCTTTAACTTGTAAAAGCAGATTTTTATCTCTACATCTTTTACCATTCTCAGACTCCTATTTCTAGATTTCTTAATTTCAATACTAATAAAATCTTCAAATTTTGATTTTTACATATTGTTGTTTTTGGGGAATCTATTTTTTAACTCCTATGGTGATACGACTATTCCGAAATCTTGAATTTTGAAATGACAATTCTGAGAAAAAATTATAAATTTCAATTCAATGTGAAATTATGTTCATTGCCTTGTTATTGATTGCGCACGCTTTGCTCGCTTTCGTAATTTCGCGCGCTAAGTTCTCCACGAATATGCTACGTTACTGAGAAACTTGCTAATGAAAAGGAAACCAGCGCGTGCGTGAAGGTCACTCCACCGCAGATGGCGCTGAGGTAGGAAATCCTCAAATACATCAATGGTCGGAAAAAGTGGCGTTATGTGGCGTCTTCAGTCAGAAGTGATGGTTAAGATGCTCACGTAAAAGAAACGAAGACAGAGTTTTGAACATACAATGACACCCAATTTTCCCCAGCATTTCTGAACAGCCATCCCCTCCCACCTACATGTTTTTTATGTTATTATTATTATTATTATTTATGTTTCGTTCCTCTATTCAATTTCTACGTCCGTGAATTCACTGACAATGGTATGTAGTCCTGATAGGAGACTCCAACGCCAACTCCCACTCTCGTGTCCATGGACGTCACTAGCTTGAACCAATAACTTTGAAATTCAAGGTTACAAGCATATTTACTGATATTTTGTTTCCAGATTCAGTTTGAGTCCTCAAAAACTAAGCAACTTAAATGGAAGAGTATTGTAATAATATTTTTGGTTTCAAATTATAATTGTCTTTATCGCTTTTGTCATGTCATAAGCGTTAGTGGATGATAGTGGTGTCACTTTTAACGTAGTAGGGGTAGACGGCCATACAGCGCCAATCCATGGCAAAACACTCAGATGCGATTTCAAAATGTAATTGAAAATTTATAAATAAGGAAAAATTCACACAGTTGTGACAGTTGAATTGAATTGAATTTTGGAGGGAAAAGAAGTATTTTACTGCAGTTCTGCTATTGGAATCATCGATAAGACTACATAGCAGACCCTGTCATAAAAACTGTTATGTATTTGTGCTTTGAACCTTCCATGTGTGTACGTGTATATTAATCGTCGCATGCACACTTGAATACATACTCTATGTATACATTTTTGAAATCATATTCATGAGAAAACGTTAGAGTTTCACCTTTGTAAGAATCTTCTATACATACGTGTAATGAGTAATGACCAGCTAGCCAGCCCCAACAAAAATTCCGTTTTTCCTATTGGCTCGCTCTCCTCGATAAGATAAATCTTAAGCTTGGCGATTCTAGAAGGAAACATTTTCTAAAAGTGTAAAAATAGAGTACATAGGCACATATATTCTTCCTCAATAAGCATATTTTCTCTAGAATTCTGCCTTCGAATTTATGTTCCCCAATTTTACCACATTATGGCGCAACAATACATACTTTATTGTGATTTAGTTTTTCATTTCTGAAATTCATTGTATCATTAAATATATGCTTACAAAACAAAGATTTCGTTACTTGAAATTCAATAGAGAAACGAGGTAGTTAACGATTTAATTCATTTTGTTGTATATATTATAATAATATCTACGTACATATGTATGTACATACAATATACTACCGACTTGGTTACCTTTCGAAGCGACTACAATTACGTCCGTTCTGAGAGTGAGCGACGAGCGACGTCAACTAATGTGTTCTATCTTCTAATTCTAGCCGAAAAACATGCGGTTCTATACCAAGTAGGGGAGAGAGTTTAGCGTTGTGTAAGTAAGAGAGATATGTATCAGTCACTTCTTTGAATTTGCTGTTTGTGTAGGGTTGTATGTTTTTTGGACAGAATTAGAAAAGAGCCGATCGTCGGCGTCGCTTACTCTTACGAAGATCCAAACCGTCACTAAAAAGCACGGATATATTGCGCCAACAGTGTACCGATCATTTCTAATTTATTGAAAGAATCATTAACTGCTTCTGTTTGGTTCATACCACTCTATTAATGGAAACAGCATCTCTTCATACTTTTTCAAAAGCAATTGCATTCGATGATTTGGTCACTGATATTGACAGTTGAAGACAGTTTTGTATGAAAATAATAGTCAAATTTGCTAGTACGATATCTTGTTTTCAATTCTTTCATTGTATGAACACGGAGAAGAGGAGTACGATAGAGATTCAGAATTGTATGTACATATATAGGTATGCTCTTTGTATATAGAAATTCGTGGTTGTGTAAAGATTTTCGCGTAGCTGTGTAGTGGCAAGGAGAGGTCCTTAGCCCCCTTCGCTAGACAGACGCAGGTAATGAGTTTTTACACCATAACTGCGGCAACACCGATAACCAGTGCAATAATATCGTCTACGATAACGACTACAACGGCAGCGATAACAGTAACAGCGACGACGACGGCTACGCCAACAACAACAACGGCGCCGGCGGTTGCCGTGTCGCCCGAAGCTGCACCTGGTTGGATAGAATTTTGTGAGAGACACGCCCGCGCTTCGGCATCCGATTTTGCCAAAGCGTTTTGTACCTATGTCAGTTTAAATCTACCCGAATGCGCCAGATCGAATCTTTCCCATCGCGACTTTTTAAGGAAATTCGTCGAAAGCTTCTGCGAACATTTTGAAACGGAATACTTGCGTCGCACAGTCAGGTCTGCCTTAATCCTTAAAGAATATCTTTTCATCATTTTATGCATAATTTAAAATGTTTCTCGGACAAGTACCATAATCTTATACATTGTATTTAATAGAAAATACATGTGCAGTCTCAATTTACTCAAATGTAACTTACAGATCACCATCTTTGTATGATGCAAGACACACAACCATCAATGATAGAGACGTTAATGTTACAAATCAGAACAATAGCGCTACTATTCATGCTTCATCTCATGAAGAATTCAGTGATTATTCTGAACACGATGGAGATGCAATATCGCCAAAACCTGTACATAAACCCTTCTTTAGGCGCCTGTCGTTTAAAGGACTCAAAAAGGGAAAAAGTTTCTTTCATAAACAACAAAGCGATGAAGTGGAATTATCTCATACCGAACATCGTAGAGATAAGCATTCAAAAGCAAAACTTTCAAAGATTGTAGTAGAATGTAGGAAAGAAGGTATCGTTAATTCATTGATGGGTGAAAATATTGATGGAACTCAAAAATGGGAAAAGTCTAGACTAGCTTTGATAAAAGCCATCGGTGGCTACATGCTGGAATTTTATTCTCCTCCAAAAGCGGTAAAACCACGAAGCGGTGTATTTTGCTCGGCAATAACGGAGGCTCGAGAAACAACTGCATTGGAAATGCCAGATCATGAAAATACATTTGTATTGAAGACACAGAATATGGAATTCGTTATAGAAGCTCACAATTCGAATGACATGAGGTCATGGTTAGCTACTATTAAATATTGTATGCGCACAGTTCAACAAAATTCCATTAATCCCAGTTCTGGTGCAGACGCTACCGCAGAATCGTTGATGCATGGTTCATTGAATATTAATAACGAAAGCGATAGATTGAGAGCTAATTCCGCTAGTAAAAGTTCTCGAACTACAGCTCATGATCATGGAGACGAGGCATCCAACAATCCCCCAGAAGTACCTTTAAGACTTCGTATAAGGAGTAACAGTAATTTGGAATTATGCTCGTCGCAGCAAGACATTGAACAAAGTAAGGTTTACTTTCCTAGCAAAAATAAGATAAATTTTTATGTATAAAGTATTCATTGTGGCATAAATTGTAGATTAAAACAATTCTAACTTTTGTTATAGTAGCTACAAACGAAGGTGAAACAGATTTATCGAGCAGTTTGAGGGAATACCCGTGGTTTCATGGTACTCTTTCTAGATCAGACGCAGCACACCTTGTTTTGCACAGTGCTGCTAACGGTCACGGTGTATTTCTTGTTCGACAAAGCGAAACTAGAAAAGGAGAGTTTGTATTAACTTTCAATTTTCAAGGCAGGGCAAAGGTAAAATTGTTGTTTAATTAAACTAAATTATATAAGAGAGGGTCTTATACATTTAGTTTTGAATTACCTTGCAGCATTTACGCATGACGCTTAACGATCAGGGTCATTGTCGAGTTCAGCATCTATGCTTTCCTGCTATATACGATATGCTCGAACACTTCCGTCTAAATGCCATACCTCTTGAATCTGGTGGAACTGCTGATGTAACACTGACAGAATTTGTGGTAGCAAATCATACCAACCGATCAGGACATCACAATGTATCTGGATCGAATCAACAACAATTACAAGAAAGAAGACCCCCGGCAGCCCTGGAGCCCAGAGAAGTAAGAGTCAGCAGTGGAAGTCTAACTCCTCTTGAGTGAACGCGAGTGGCCAACACCCACAGTCTGAAGTCTAATCTACAGACAGTGAGTAAATAACCAACTAAAGTGATGCACCCATTTTTCGTGCGGCTGGAAATACATACATACTAAATTGATATTCGTGTGTTCACAAAGGTTTCATCAGTTCCTTAGTAGTTCATGTAGTGCCATATTCGGATTATTTTGTAAGTATTCGAACACTATTACTTTTTTGTTTAAAACGTAAATTGTTTTATACTGTTAACGTTAACGTATTGTTTAGAAGTTATTGTATTTTTATCATTATCCTTGGTAGTATATAATAATTACTTAATAAGTTGTACAGCTTTGTAAAAATATGTAATATGCTTCCTATAGTTACCAGTTACACTGGTTTTTTGAAAACTTGGTAATGTGTAATTATTCACATTCTTTTCCCATACATAATTTCATACACACCAAGTATACAATTTTACTTACTGTGACTAATTTATTTTCTTGGGTTAAAATAAGCTTACGTGAGTTTCACATATTTGGAATATTATTATCCTAAGAACATTTGTTCTTTGTTACTTTTATTGAATTTTACTTGCTTTCTTTATAGTATTATCATCTGTACATCAAGAGCGTACAGACTCATGAATTTGAAATCCGAATGTGGAGACTTAACAGAATGTAAACGAATACCGGTAAATATGTAATTAGAATTTTAGCAGGTCCGTTTATTAAAAATTCTACATGCCTCATGTCAAATGTGTGACAACTCTTAGTGTTGAAGAATTTTTTGGATAATATAAAGTCAATGGTGCTCGACAAGTATGACCGTGGGGCAAGGAGCTCGCTCTTGAATAAAAAATATTCTTAAAATTTCTGGTTTTCTTAATTTAATGCTTACATGTATATTCTTATCTCCAATTCTGAATTTGAAGCAACCATTAATCCTTCAATAATATTCATTAATTTACAAAATAATTAATAATATTCATTATCGCGTCAGATAGATACAATTTTTTAATCCCAGAAAATTTAAGAAAAATTTTTAGTTTTCTCATTGAAAAAATTTTGAAGTAAGTAATTGTGTTTCTTAATTATATAGGTACGCACATATGGGGGTTCTATAAGAACGCGCATCGAGTCCCTAGAAAGACTGGAACAACAAAACAACGTCATGGAACATCAAAGTTCATCAGTATCTAGTGGTAGAGCCATTCAGAACACTTACTGCTTTCTTTGACGGTGGATACATAATTATTCTGCCATCAGGCTATAACCCGATTACTCCTCTGGAATTTAAGTACTCTTCCTGTCAACCCATCCTAGAAAGAAAACGCAGAGTTTTAAGCTGGACTTATTATCTTGAAGGACTATTAAAATATGTATTACTTCACTTACATAAATAATATATTTTCTCAAATCAACTGCTTCCAATTTTTCCAATCTTGTAAAAAAATTTCTAATGGATTTATTTGTTGAAATTTCTAATCAAATTTTAAAGTGCAACATTGAGCTTCCATGGAAAAAGATTTCTCATACTTGTTCTGTTTTGCATGTTCAGGTATATTAGCTCGTATTTACTATTAAAACTGAAAAATTGCGACCTTTGTTTGTATTGTATTAAAGCAA